CAAATAAAAAGTGTAATGAACCTTTCACATTGTCATTACCTTTGGGTCAAGTGTGCCTCCTTTCAGATGACTCATTTGTGACTAGTGGAGCATTGTCTTCATAAACGCCCCCTCCCCCCCCTCCCCACCACAACGGCAAGACATTTTCACAAATATAAATAATAATGTCTCTGGTTGTGTCTGCAGGCTGACCTTGACGATGCCCACTCGACGATTGTGGTCCACTGGGTAGGAAGTGGAAGGGACGAGATCTTCGCTTTAGCCAAGGATGTAAATGGTCTTAGCAGTGCTCTGTTCATTTCGAAGGTACAGTTATATTGTTTTTTTGTTTTGTTTTTGTTTTTTAAAGATTCATTGGTGCTTACAAATCAAGTGCATCATGTGGGTCTGAAGTAGTGGTTAGGGTCCTGACTGCTGCACCCAGAAGATGTGAGTGCAGTTTCGTTACAGGGAATTTATCCTGTTGCGGGTGCCCGTCTGTGTGCGCTGAGGTGCTGTATCCCTCTAAGCCCTGGTTTGTTGGCCCTGACAGGCAAGGTCGAAGCAGCCTGCCTCCTGAAGGATTTAAATTGTGTTGTCGAGGGTGAAAAACTAAAACGTTAAAAAACGATTGTATTTCCTGCAATCAACTACACTCTTAAAATATTTTTTCTTGTGTCCTTTGAAAAAACTATTCACCAATCAGTCTAGTTGTTGCACTTGCTTCTGCTGTAAGCACTGAAAACTGACTACATCATTGAGAAGACAAAATTCAGTTATGAACTTTGTGAAAGAACTTACCAGTTTCTGTCTGCTATTGTTAAATTACTTCACTGCTTTGAGAAAAAAGATAATGCCTGCTATGTAATACTGTTGTTTTCATCAGTATAGTGTTTGGTTTTAGCTAGCTGTGTTGTTTATTATTTTTAATAAAAGAAGTAGAAAGAAAAGCATATAATCCATTTTGTTTAAATTTAAAGAAATTATATAAAATATTAAGTCATTGTACAAGTGTCTTCCACATCTTTTTTCCTCTTCATTTTTATACATTTTATAAATATGTAATGTTTACGTATAGACCTGGTGCAAGGGAAGAAGGAAAATGTGGTATGCAAGGCATATGGGGTCTTATGTTTTGGTAAGATTTACGGCACTTGCAACACAAATAGGTTATATGAGTGGCGGAGATTAGAGGTGTTACAAGAGAGTAACACACATAAGAATAGAAGGAGGAAAGATAACAAGGCTAGATGTTTGATAGAAAAAAAGGAGCATACTACACCAGAGCACCTGCCAACCACCCACAAATGGGATCTTGGACAAATTAGAGGAAACTAGCATTATAACACAAAAAGTTCCCATGATCTTGAAGTGGACTCCCATAATCTCCAGTGATATATCTGTTCTGTTTCTGGTTTTGTTTGTTTTTTCTTAATATAGGTGGGTTTTTTTACACCACCATCATTGCAATTAGATCATTTAGGAGTTAGGCTGGGACTATACTATGCCTGTCAGAGCCTACCTGAGCTTAGATACTTGATAAAGATTTTTCCCGGCAAGGGAATTGAACGTTGATCATCTGCGTGCAGGGGCTCACGTGGTCAAGAGTTACGGTGTTCGCCTTTCATTCAATAGGTTCTGGGTGTGAAACCTGACAGCGATGAGAAAAATTTTTTCTCTGATAAAAATTTTTTCTCTGATATTTTCTCCTTTCTCCTCCTTTCAGGTCCTCTAGTCCTGTTCTGTCATCTGCTTTCATCTCCAACTACTCCCCCGACACCCCCCCCCCCCCCAATGACTGGCCTCCTCTTCCCTTTACTCTTGACTTTTTCTACTGTTCTCCTTATTCTTTCTTACTGATGTCTTTCAGCCATACCCCTGATCTTCGAGTAGGTAAGATCTGACACATGGCCTCCTTGGATAAGGGCGAAAAATCTCGGAGGTCCTGTTTGCTTGTTGGGCCTGTTTAAGATCTTCTGGTGGTTCTAAAATCGATCAGAATAGGCTTTGGTTGCCACGTGGGGAAAATTCAAAATCTTTTACTACCAAATCTGAAAATACTCTTGTCAGTATAAAAACCTATAGATAAGATACCTTTGAAATCGAAATGGGGCCCTACGAAGTAGGAAAAAGGGTCACATATGAAAAATCAATTGCACTGCAGGTTGAAGAACTAGCAGTCAACTTTTCCCTGAGATCTCGTGGGGGAATGCAAAGAAGAAAGAAGAAGATGTTCTGCTTATGACAGTGAGGCACTTAACTGCTGCACCCCTGATCTCTGTTGTGATATCTGTAGTTCGTACTGTTGAAGCAGTGGAGTGTCGCCAGTCAACAGTGTACTCTTTGAGTCTTGAACCATTTGAGGTGCAGCCATTTTCCTCTCCTTCTTTTGGGTGGCTGGTGGGTGCTCTGATGTGGTTTGCTTCTTCTTTCCTATCAAATGTCCTTATCGTCCTATCTCTATTCCTTCTTTTTCGTGTCTGCTACTGTTTTGTAACCCCTCTACTCTTTGACACTTTCACTTAAGCGACCTACTTGAGTTGCAAGTGCCATAAAATGCTTGCTTAAACAAATAAAAAAATCACTCCCCCCCCCCCCCCCCCCCCTCAGAAACCTTTTAAGAAGAAAATCCAGGGAATAAAAAAAAAGGATAAGAGATGGAACTCGTACTTCCAAGTGTGGTCATGGTATGACTGACCCCTTTGCTGTTCTTCCAACAGCAGGTGTGATCAGTGGCCACAGTGACTGTCTTTTTGTTTGCGTGTTGTTTGTCAGAAAAGGGGGGATTTGATGTATTCCAAAGAATTGTTGTACATTCACTGGGCCAGTGTGCGTCAAACATTGATATAAATCTTATTTTATTGTGAAGTGCCTAGGGCCACCAGGGACTGGATGCGATTGAAGTGAACTTTATTATAATAGTATAATAATAATAATAATAATAATAATAATAATAATAATAGCAATTACTATTATTATTATTATTATTGTTCTTCTTCTTATTGTTATAATAATAATTGTTTTTTAAATTATTTATTATTATTATGATTATTATTGTTATTATTATTATTATTATTTTATTATCATTATCATTGTCATTATTATTATTGTTATTATTATTATTATTTTTATTATTATGATAAAGGTTTAATTGGGGTCTGCCTTCTTAAAATAAGTTTAAAAAGAGAGTGGAGGCTATAGATGTGCATAGTAGGTCAAGAAGGTTCCAAATTGAGACGTCAATTAGACTTTTTCTAGGCAAACTTACAGCAACAGTGTAGTATTCTGTGGTATGATTAATGGAATTTTGCTGAAAACACAGCTGAATTGAAGTGTCCATCGTGTAAGAATTGTTTTTGCAACCCCTTAATTGTTTTTTTTTCTTTTCAGGACTATGGCAAACATTTCACGGATGTCAGCGACCAGCTCATGGTGAATGCATCTGTCAAAGGTGTGATTGATTCATATTACGATGTGAATGCTTTCAATTATATGGTAAGTTTTTTTTTGGATGGATTTCATCTCCTGAATAAATATTAAAACCTATATAAAGTAGCTGTCTGACCTTTTTGGAAATGAAATGACTCATGTAACTATAGAGAAGTTTCATATGATACTTGTAAGGAGAAAGCGGGAGTGAGAGAAGGTTCCTCTAAATGACTAACTGGGTATAGTAGTCCATGCTGACTCACCAAATGTTTTGGAGAGTTCTGATCGGACCTTTTGAAAAGGATTGTGTTTTTTGGCTCTGTGTGTGTGTATATGTGCGTGTGCGATTTTGTGTATATTTCTTTTTAGCCCTTTCATGTTCAGCTGCACGAAAACCGCTTGAAAAAATGCAGGGGTAGCCTTTGTTCCTCCCAAAATCTGTTGGACAGGCACTCAGGAATTATTTCCACGGTAAGCTTGGCCTTGATCACAATAGATCTCCGGCATTGAGCTGCCGCCTTGATTTCATTCCCAGTGTGGAAAGTCTGTCAGAGCAGATGGCAGCAGGCAAAATTCACCTTTATTTCCACAATGGAAGTCTCTTTTGTTTAATTGTTGGCAGAGAATGGGTTAAGACTAGGGTTAATATATGCGAAAAGTAAGGTTGACCCTTGTGAATAGTCAGTGGTTGCCCTTTGGGAGAGGGTGTTGCCAGTGCAGATTTTTCTGAACTTTTGTGTTATGATGAATAAGTGAATGATAAATTTTTGATAGAGCTTATCCGTTTTTGTTTGAGAGTCGGATCACACTACCATATCTGCAGATTATGATGAAGACGTTGTTGCTTATATCGTTTGAATCTGTTAACAGTAGTTACGCAAGTGGTTGGAGGGCGCCACTGGTAGGTCCTACTTCTTTACTTTCCCTCTGTTATTTCTGTCTGTCTGAGTTTTTTCCCTAAATAACTATTATTGTGTCCATGTGCTTCTCCTTACTAAAAAAAACAAACAAATAGACAAACAAACAAACAAACAAACAAGTAATAGTTAATGTAGTTTGTGTTTACTGGCATCTGTGATCTTGGCTGTTTCTTGGGAGGCGCAAAACATGTAAAGTTGTAAATTTTTGTTTTTGACAGTACATGTTTGCTGACGTCAAGCATGACTGCGTCTTCACCTCTGTGGACACGGGCTCCACGTTTGAGACGTTCTGCCATCTGCCCTTCAAGCCTCGTACCATCAAACTCTACCCCAGCAACCCGAACTACGTTTTGGCGATGGATGATGAAGATCCTCTTGGACGAGTATGTAGCTGCTGCTGTGTTTTTGTTTTAGACAGTTGTCTGTTTGGCTTTTTTTTTGGTCATTGTCTCATGCCCTTTTATCCCTTTTGTTTTATCCCTAGCTACTTTATCCCTTGCTACTTTTATCCCTTTCTAATTGTCCCGCCTTTTTATTCTATTTTTGCGATTTTGTTCCTTGCCATTTCATCCCTTTCTGTTGTATTTGTTGCTTTTCTGTTCATAGACACTTTATCCCATGTCATTTTTCCCCTTGCTCTTTTATCCCTTTTCAATTTCATCTGTTGCCATTTATATGTGTAGTCCTTTGTTGGGGGTGGGATAAATTGGTCATATGTGTCATGACACGGTGGAATCAGGCGCTTGTCAATTTTTGGGCATGGAGTTATTATTTTCATTTTAGAGCTGCTTATTCATTTGTCTGGCATTTAGCAGAAAAAAATACGCATCTATCTGGAATAGAAGTTGAGGTATTTTTTGATTGAAAGAGGTGGGGGTCGCATGGTCGTGCGTGTAACCAGTGTGGAAGTGGCTGGACTCCTAAACGATCCTGACTGTGTTGATGTAGGCATAAAACTTTTCTGATATTAAAAAAAATTCCAGTGTGAATTTAAACGCAGTGTCTGGTTAAATGTTTTACATAATTAAACAAATTTCAGTGTGAGTTTTAACAGTGTCTAACAAAATGTTTCTAACGATTAAAAAGAATTCAGTCTGATTTTTAACACGGTGTCTAGCTAACTGTTAGCATTGGCCTACTCTGAATACAGATCCATGGTACATCTTCTTGTCAAGTCCTCTTTCAGTATGAACTGTCTAATATGCGAAATTGTTTCAGCAACATTAGCATAAATTTGAATTTTTTGTAAAGGATCTGTAGCTTTTGGTACTCAGTAATTGAATTGTTCATGTTGTTGTATAGAAAGAGGAAGTTTGGTTGCTAGAAAGTTTACGTTTACTGGCCATAAATATTTTTTCTGTAAAGTTATTTGCGAGGCATGGTGATGAAATCAGGCGCTCATCTAAATAATGGAATTGAAGAAACTGGCATTATTCGAATTTTTTTTTTGGCTCAATACCTTTTATATCCATTTAAAAACACATTTCTGTGTGGATTTTTGGGAAAATCATTGTTTAAAGGCACAAAGAATCCGAATTTCCAAGGACTCTAAAGCTATGAATGTCACCACACTTCGGCAGTCATTTTCTCACTAATTTTTCCCTCTAAACAAGGTATCCTCCAGGTCCTTCAATTTTAAATAACTGTAATTGTTTTCAAGATTGTTAGGTATTTTTTTCATGGAAAGCAAGACAAATGAACAAGCTTAAAGAGGATACCTATAACCCCATATGCCCCAAAGTTGATGATTGCCTAATGTTTTTACTGCATCGTGACTCATATTTATTTGTATATATAGACTGACATTTCATGTGGATGTGTGTGTATATGTATGTGTGTGTCTGTCTGTGTGTGTGTATGTGTGTGTGTGTGTGTGTGTGTGTGTGTGTGTGTGTGTGTGTGTGTGTGTGTGTATGTGTGTGTATGTGTGAGTGTGTGTGTGTGTCTCTGTGTGTTTGTGTGTGTGTGTTTTGTGATTTATTGTGCAAAAGTTTGTTTAATCCCACCCAGCCCCTCTGTTCTGTTGCTTCTCAGATAGATGTTTATTCCATTTTTCATTTGTGAATGTCTTTTTTTTTTCCAGCTCTATTCCTCGATAGACTTTGGCCGTTCTTGGGAACTGGCTTTCTCTCATGTCAAGTCTTTCCACTGGTGAGTATGAGTATAGTATTTTTGGGGGGAATGGGGCTCTTGCAGGGGCTGAATTGGAGGGGAAGATAATTTTTATTTTTTTTGGGAGGGGGGCATAGGGGTAGTGTTGAAGGAAAGGGAGAGGTGGTTGTGAGGTTGTGGTAATGTAGTGTGTGTAATATGGGGGTGGGGTGGGGAGGCTCAATTTCGACTGGCTGCCGCAGAGTATGTGCTGTAGTTAAGAGTGATGATTTTTTAAAATTGTTTCACAGTTGATAGTTGGTGCATTCGTTGATCCCCTTGTCGTTGTAAACAGGTCGCGACCTCAGTGCTTTCTTGTTCTATCTCCATTTTTTTAACATTGAAAATGTGACTTATTCTTAAGCTCACTCTTTGTTATGAACTGTTTTGACTGTTATTAAAAATGGAGATAGGACAAGAGAGCACCGAGGTCGCGAGGTGGAGGGGAAGGAGGTGCAGGTTGATCATTTGATCTAGACCCAGATTGATGAGATTCAGTGTCAGTAGCAGTAGCAGATACAGTGGCAGTTGCACATCTACCGGGGCCAGGCACAAAGGGAAATTCACTGTTTGTTTTTGTGTTGTTTTTGGCTACTTGCCACTGTGTTGTTGTGGTGGACGTGGCAGTAGCTGCAAGGTTGTCGACATCGGGTGTTGGCTCAGACTGAACTAAGCATTCAGTAGTAGTCTCCTCATCACTTGATAGGTTGAACTCAGAGTCAGATTCACCTTTTTTCTACCCCTAAATCTCTGTTCTCGATAGGTTCCCTCAGTAATTCACTTGCTTTCTCAGCATGTGCCTTACGAAGCATTTCCCTGACGATACAGATGGCTGATTCTTCAGCATGGTGAAAATTCTAGAAACGACACACACATTCCAAAGCAAAACAAAGCTCAAAATTGGCTCCAAAGCACTGTAAACAATAGAAAAGCTCCTCTATTTCTTTGCAAATGGCGGATGGACCTTTTACCCACGCAAAACCCATCTGAGAAAACGAAGATCGGTTTTATCTTCGTCTTTGGATAAGGAAATAAAAACAATACAGTATGTGTCATCCCGACGGATGGCGGTCGTGGTCTATAAGAGTTAACATTGTTATTATTTGTTATTATCATCATAATTGTGTTTTGAGAACTCCAGCAGTACCACGTCTCTTTTTTTCTTCTTATTCTTCCTTCCCTCTCCCCACCCTGCAGGAGTGAATCCAGCCATGACCAAGAGCTCACTGTGTATATGGAGAAGGAGGTTGGAGGTCACTTGAAAGAGATAGTCCGGTGCAGTCGAACTGACGAAGGGTGGTTGGCCAGTGAGGTGTTGCTCTCGAACGTCGTGGATTTTGAGATGCGTGACGAGTATTTGTTTGCGACCAAGTCCGTTGTAAGTTCTCGTGACAAGTCAATCTGATGTGGAAGGAAAAGGGAGGGCACATCAATTAAATGGGTCATAGGCAGGTTTGAAGTGTTTTATGTTCTTAATTCTTTAGGTTGCGTTGATGGAGGTGGAAAAATTTTGTGGTGCTATCAGTCACTTTTTATTGTAGTAAAAAAAGTGAGATTGAAAAAGTAGGTCACATGATTTGTGATGCTATGCATGACACTGGTCATAAGCTATAAAGAATACTAATTGTTGTTGTCAAAAGCACTTGGCAGACGTCAAAGTCAAACTATATCGAGGGGCTCCCTTGGTTAAGGTGTTCGCCTCTCTTTCAAAAGGTCCCGTTTTCGAATCCGGATAGCGACGGAAACATTTTCTTCTCTAAAATTATCTCCTTTCACATCCTTTCCTGCTCTCTAACAATGTTCTGCCATTTGCTTTCATCTCCACTTTCTGCCCCCACTCCCTTACCTCCTTTGTCCCCTCCTCTGGGCTCTTGACTCTTTGTGCAGGCTTTCTACTGCTACTCCTTGGCTCCTTCTTACTGCTGTCTTTCAGCCGCACCCCTGATCTTATGGTAGGAAAGATCTACACCTAGCCTTCTCGGACAAGGGCAAAAAATCTCGGAGTTCCTGTGTGCAAGTTGCGCACGGTAAAGGTCCCGTGGTGGTCTAAAATAGATAAGAGTAGTCTTCGACGGCCACCTGAGCAAAATGTAAAAATTCGTACCAATGAAAATTTTTAATGTGCCCTGCGCACTCATATGGCCTTTTGCAGCTGCAAGCGCTGTAAAACACTTACCAAAAAAACAAACAAACTACCGAATGGAGGCTCTCGTGGTCTAACGATATGGTGTTCGCCTCTCTTTCAATAGGTCCTGGGTTTTAAACCTGACACCGCTGAAAATTTTTCTTCTCCAAAATTTTGTTCTACAGGGTCCCCACAGGGTCGGGAAATCGGGAAAAAGTCGGGAATTTTGAGATGGGTCGGGAGGTCGGGAAAAAGTCGGGAATTTTGTGATGGGTCGGTAAGACGGGAAAGTATAGGGCCTGTGTAATGTGCAGCTATCTAGACTGTATGGTTGATGAATCCTTAAGAGGAAACGTAATTGAATCGCTGTGACGGAAGTGTATGTGTGTGTGATAGATAACGCAACATTTGTAACATGCAGGTTGTTCATTATGAACGCTGTGTCGCATTGAAAATAAATCAATATTAAAAATTGCCCTCTGCTGTCGCTTGTGGAAAAAAAAGAAAAAAAAAGAGATGTTATACAAGCGTCTTGACAGGTTCGCCCTCGTGACCGGTCAATGAACCTGTGAGTACCGGCGGTCTGAACGCTGTGAAGTATAAGACTCCTTTATAAGATACATTCGTGGAAGGGGATTTGGGGGGGGGGGGGGAGCTGAAGGCAACGCTAGAGGACAAAAACTGAACTTGGAAAGCAAATTTTTAGCATTTTGATTACTACTTTAGAGCTCTCTGCAAAGCGCGTGTTGGTGCAGGCCTTGTGTGGATTCAGGATCCGTCATGCCTTGTTACTGAGCTAAAGTGTTCGCGTTTCATTGGATGGGGTGATTGTAATTTATATCTATATTTTATTAGCTTTCTGTTCAAGACTGGCAGATTTTCAGTGTCACTGCATCTTGAGCCCCCCCCCTCCAGTTCTTACACCTCTCACACTGAATAGGTGTACTTGAGCCATTCTAGTTATGAATCACGACACCCAGACTGGTTATTGACAGTCGATTTTCTAGTTCTAGGTCTTTTTTCAGGCTCAAAACAGGATTCATTTTTTTTATATAGGGCCTATAGTTTGTTATGTTGGCTAATATGATGAGGGGAAAATATAAATAAGTAAGAACAGACTGAAATACCAAAGTCTCTCAAGATCCCAGTGCCACACTGACATGTTGTTAACTGGATATAATGTACCTACATGTGTGTGTGTGTGTGTGTGTGTGTGTGTGTGTGTGTGTGTGTGTGTGTGTGTGTGTGTGTGTGTGTGTGTGTATTTATTCACAAACATATACATGTATTATATTAGATATAAATGGAGCACACGCTTTCATTTTTATGTAACGTGTTCCTGGAAAATGGATGAGGCCCCTCCCTTGGAAAATTGAGAAGCTGGTTTGGCAGTCACCCAGTATTATAGTCATCTATTGTTTGAAGACTATACTACAAAATGTACATTTGCATTCATTTATAGACATTTTGACTTTTTATCTTTGATAGATTGGCTTTTTTGGGGATCATTCTTGTCGCGCAGCGGCCTGATTTTTGCCTCGAATTGGGGTCTTGAAAAAAATTTGGGGGGTCTTGAAAATTTTTTCCAGGATTTGGTGGGGACCCTGGTTCTATCACCTCCTTGCCTGCATTTTAGTCATGTTCTTTATCTGCTTTGATCTCCACTTTCTCTCCCACCCCCCTTTGCTCCCTCCCCCCCCCCCCCCCCCCCCACCTCACTCTCTCTCTCTCTCTCTCTCTCTCTCTCTCTCTCTCTCTCTCTCTCTCTAATCATGTCTTCCTGCCTGCTTTGATCTCCACTTTCTCTCCCTTTCCCTTTTCTCCTTTTTTTACCCCCCCTTGTCTACTGACTCTTTCTACTGCTACTCTCCTGGCTCCTTCTAACTGCTGTCTTTCAGCCACACCCCTGGTCTTAGGGTAGGTAAGATCAAACTCCTAGCCTTCTGGGATAAGGGTGAAAAATCTTGGAAGTCCCTTGTGCAAGTTGTGCACGTTAAATATTCCTTGGTGGTCCTAAAATCAGTAAAAGTAGCTCTTTGGGCTTTGGCTTACATCCGTGAAAATTCAAAATTGATTCCTGCCGAAACTGAAACTGCTTAATGTGAAATCAACCAACTTGTGTCCCGCAAGCTCATATGACCGTACGCAATTACGAGTGCTGTAAAACTCTTAAAAAGTAAACAAATCTATATTGAATAGAATGAGATGTGTGAGTATTCTTTTCCTGTCAAACATCTATCACCCTTATTTCACCTCCTTCTGGTTTGTGTTTTGTTACTCTATTTTAACACCTCTAGTCTTTGGCACTTATATGACCTTATATTGTGTTGCAAGTGCTGAAAAAAAGCTTCTCAAAACAAAATGGCCACACACTTGTTCGCTTTTCTTGGAATTTGCATATTATCTTAATTATAAAGGCTAAGACTGACAGCTGACAGTGGCTCTGACACTCTTTTTCTTGCTTGAGATGAATCAAGGAATATTTTTGAATAAAGAGGGAAATTTTATAACTTTCAAAGGAAAGAAAATGCACATTCAGTCAGAATTCTCTGAGTCTGCCACCCATTGATGTGGAGAAAAGTGGCCGTTTTAGACTGGTGGCCATCTTATAGTGTCATTATAATGGGGGGGGGGGGGGGGGGGAGGTGGCCATTTGCACAGGATATATAGGAATTTTGTTTATTTCTAGGTTCAAGTCACATGGCTGTGATTGTGTCCCGCTTTTGACTCTGAAAGTTTTGTGATTTTAACTTTCCGTAAATGAAAATTGTCTTTTACAGAGGCTGCTGGGATTGAAGTCGAACCCAAACCTTCAGTTATGGGTCTCTCATAACCGTGGCTCGTTTATGAAGGCTCAGTTTCCTGTCAGCTTTAACATCACAGTGAGTGGCAAACGCTGGTTTAGAGTGCGTGTTAAATGCAGGATTTTGGAATGCGTACACACAGTTGTTTAGAAATTGTGATGTAGTTTCTCCAAGAATGAGTCTGTAATAAAAATCCTCATATTATATTGTTTTCGTACTGGTCTTGAAGTTTGTTTGATGTTCGTGCTTGGCGGGTGCTTCTTCTTTTCTAACCAACATCCATTGTTCTTATCTCTCCTTCTTTTTGGTGTTTTTTACTCTCTTGTAACACCTCTAATCTTCAGTACTTATTTGACCAAATTGTGTTTCAAGTGCCGTAAAATGCTGACTAAAACAAGAAGTTGGTATAATGTGAGTATTTTTCAGTTAGAAATGTTATCATGTCAAATCTTTGAAAGTTTGAAAAAGAATCTGTTCTAGGCCTCTCCCAGTAGTTGGTTGGAGGGCGCCACGGGTAAGTCCCTATTTTGTCTATCTGTCTGACTTGTCCCTGCTCTAATGATCAGTTATTATGTTGATGTGCATCTTCTTCACTCAAACAAGCCTGCTTTAATGCTTAACGTTGTAACATGGATAGTTGGTGGGTTCTGTACCTCTTCTTCTTTACAGTGTTGCTGTGGTTTCAGTACATTCCTTGATGATAATGAAATACTTTTTTATTGATCCGTGCCCGGCATAAGTACATAATTATAAATACATACACAGAAATACATACACAAATACATACGTATTTACACAATATTACACCAATACAGAATCATTTCACAAGCATGCCTTTACCGGTTGCCACTTTGCAGCGCCCTGTTTTTTTTGTTGTTAGGGTTTTCGTGTCTTGCTCAAGGACACCCCCAAGTGACCACCCACCTAAACTCTGTGTCACCGATGCTCACTTGATATTACTTTTTGAGTTTGAACTCATTACTCACTTAGCCACTGGGGCCCCCAACAGGACTTGTAATTGTAGATGTTTAACCCAGAGAACGTGAGTTCCATTCCCATGTGGGGAGCATATTTATGGAGTATGTTCATCTGTCAGCTGGGACTTTGTTTCCCTCTCATTCGGTTTGACCCTGACAGGCAAAATTGAAACAACCTGCCTCTTAACTCATCACGACGGACCTGATCTAGGTTGTGTTGATGGGCTGTACAGCATGATAATAATAATAATAATAATAATATTAATATTAATATTAATATTGATGATAATAATAATAATGACAATAATAATAGTCGGCATTTGCATGGCTAAAATTTCCGCTCAACAGCAAGTTCTATGCTCTTTACAATTTATATTATTACCCCAGCAGACCTGATAGCGTTCTGAAACAATCCGAACTTCCTGGGAAGCATACAGTGTAAGCTGCCATTTTATAGGCGCTAAATCACTAACATACTGACAAGATTTATCACTGTCTATAGCTGGGTACCCGTTCCCACCTTGGTGAAGTGAGAAAAGTTCCACCCCCAAACTTGGAATCTCATGATCACGAGCCTGGTAGCCGTACCACTAGACAAGTGATGCAACATGTACAATTGCAATGTTTGTTCCCGTCAGGATTTCTATGTGGCGGACACCTCGGAGGGTCAGGTGATGGTCTGCGTCTCGCACAACTCCTCTTACACCAACCTGTACATCTCGGAGGTCAACGGGTACAGGTTTTCTCTGTCCTTGGAGAAGATCGTCTTCTTCAACCCGAGAAGTGAAAACCCCCTGGGCTTGATCAGGTTTGTGTCGCTTTGTTTGTTTGTTTGTTTGTTTGTTTGTTTGGAGTTTGTTTGTTTGTTTGGAGTTTGTTTGTTTGTTTGTTTGTTTGTTTGTTTGTTTGTTTGTTTGTTTGTTGATTGAGTGGTTGTTGGTTTTGCCCCTTTTGTTTGCTTTTTTTTGTTTTGTTTGTTTGGGTAGCTGGTTGGTTGTTAGTTATTTTCCTTGTGTTTGTGTTGCCTTGTTTTGTTTATTTGTTTGTTTGTTTTTTGTTGTTGTTTGGTTGGGTAGTTGGTTGGTTGGTTGTTGGTTATTCTTCTTGTGTTTGTGTCTCTTTGTTTATTTTCTGTTTTGTTTGTTTGTTTTGATTGTTTTGTGGTTGGTTGTTGGTTTTGCCCCTTGATGAAGGAAAATCTGGAAACTTTCAGCTGCATCTTTTGTTTTCTTTCTTTCTTTTTAGGCGTTGTCCTTCCTCTGTTGGAGGTAGCCCTCCGACAATGACCTTCATTTTGTTTTATCAGCTGTTTTCGTGGATGGTTGGGTGCTCTAGTGTAGTTTGCTCCTTCTATCTTTCCTATCAAACATCTATCGTCCTTATCTCCCCTTCTTCTTTTTTATGTTTGTTACTCTCTTGTAACACCTCTAATCTTCTGGCGCTCATATGACCTTATGCAGTTGCGAGTGCCGTAAAACACTTACTAAGACTAAACTCAGCTGTTTTCCGTGTCCAGGTTGTTCTTGTCTGCCCTCTGCTGTCATCTTGCCATCTTCTTTCTGGTCTTCCTCTTGACCTTTTTCTTGTTCCTGGTCTGCATCCTGTACATCTTTTTGGTCCATCTGCTGTCCTTCACTCTGCTGATGTGTCCAGTCTATTTCCATTTTTGTTGGAGCATAAATTTTGGGATTTCTGTCACTCCTGTTTTCTGTTGTATTTTTGTGTAAGGTATTTGATCCTTTATTCTTATGCTCTGCATCTTCTTTCCTATTGCTCTTTGTGCTGTCCTTAATTTTCAGGTGCATCTAACCATATTAAAGAAGGATTGTGAGTGGTTGGGGGGTGCTCTGGTGTGGTTTGCTCCTTCTTTCCTATCAAACACCTGCCGTCCTTCTCTCTCCTCCTTCTTTTTATGTGTTCGTGTTACTCTCTTGCAACACCTCTAATCCTCGACACTTACATGGTCTTATTATGTTGCCAGTGCCGTAAAACTCTTACTAAAAAAAAAGATAAATAAGAGAGAAGTTAATCGGAAGTTCGTGATGCTGAAAACTTGGTTTATAAAGCTGGTTGTGTACAAAAGAGGAATAGTATTCTGTATCCTAAGAGTTTATAATGATAATAATAGCTCGTCCATCAATGTCTGACGATGACCAAAACAGCCGCAGAGGAGAATATTTCTCCAGCAAAATAGAAGAATTTGAAGAATTAAAGATTAAGATGACTTGGAAAAAGAAAAATTTTAAGAATTAAAAATTAAAATGACTTGGAAAAAGAAGAATTTTAAGAATTAAAAATTAAGATGACTTGTGGCTCCTGCTGTGGCTGATGAGATCAGTTCTGGCCGAGAAAAGTTTGCCACATTTTGGTCCCAAGAGTTAAGTTGGTTTGATTTGGCTGTCCACAGATTTTACACAAACAAAACATTTGCGGACATCAAGAAGTTGAGTGGGGTGGAAGGCGTATACCTGGCGTCGCAGCAGATCGGCGATGAATTAGATGTCGACACACAGCGTACGCTGGTCACGTTTGACAAAGGCGGTCGGTGGCAGCCTATCCCACCTCCGGAGGAAGTGCTGAGCAAAAACCGAAATCGCTGTTCTGCTGTAAGTTACGCACATTTATTCTTGTAGACAGGGGATGTGAGTTATGCTGGAGTACCTTGGTTTATTATGGTAGATAGATGATGTAAGGTACATTGATTTATTCTAGTGGATAGGTGATGTGAGTTATGTTGGTTTATTATGGTAGATAGGTGATGTAAGGTACATTGATTTATTCTAGTCGATAGGTGATGTGAGTTATGTTGGTTTATTATGGTAGATCGGTGATGTGAGTTATGTTGGTTTATTATGATAGATAGGTGATGTGAGTTAGGTTTTTTTTGTGTGAAGAATATATATGAATTATGCTGCTTTATGCTTATAGATAGGTGATGTGAGTAAGGCTGGTTTATTATGGTAGATTGGTGATGTGAGTTTATGTTTTTTTGGTTTTACTTTGATAAAGAATTGACGTGAGTTACGCTGCTTTGTTCTAGTAGTTGGGTGATGTAAGTTAGGCTGGTTTATTATGGTAGATAGGTGATGTTAGTTATGTTTTTCTTTTTTGTGTGTGTGTGTGTAAAGAATTGATATTCTCTTAAATAGGGGATGTGAGTCAGTCTTGTTTATTATGGTAGATTGGTGATCTGAGGTTATGGTTTTTTTTGAGGGGGTAAAGAATTGATTTGAGTTACGCTGCTTTATTCTAGTAGTTAGGTGATGTGAGTCAGGCTGGTTTAGTATGGTAGATGTATAATGTGAGGTGTACTGGGTAGGGGAGAGAAGGGGGGGGAGGGAGCATTTGAATAAACTGTATTTGATCAGAAAAAAAATAACTGTATAATAATATCTTGGACTGTGCACTCTGACATACTTCTGGTTCACCCCCGAGCATACCCCGTGACTCAATTTTAGCCAAATGAAGGGCGAGGAGAAAGGTGCCATGCTCCCTTAGCTATAAGGTGACTGGTTGCTACCTCAGAATTACAAAGTTCTATTTGACATTTTTGGCCGTTTTGAGTTACTTAGACCATGAGGTCAGAAACCTAACGTTCTATCTAATCTATGAAAATCGTAAGATTATTCAGAGTCTTTATCAAGATATTGAAAGAATTGCATTTGAAAAAGCTTTACATGTTGTGAAAATCAAAATTTTTTACGTCGAATTTCTCAAAACTAGGTACCGAGCAGACAGAACTTTGTAATTCTAAAGTAGCGTGGTGTTTAGCCCTTCATTAAGAACGTAATTACGTGTCCCGTAGTGCGCACGATTCACGGCAAAGTTTTTCTGTTGCGCAAAGAGTGACGGCCATGACAGAGAGTGTTCTAGGAGTACAGGGGTACAAGTCTATGGTGACAGACTGAGAAACTCTTACTAATGCGGACAGATAAGACAGACAGTGTTCTTGGAGTATAGGGGTACAAGTTTATGGTGGTAGACTTTTTTGGGGGGTTATTTTTGGAAAGTGTCCTTAAGGCGCTCACAACTGCATGAGGTCATATGAGTGTGTGGGACAAATTAAACATTTTCAGTTTGGTTGGAATTTTTAATTTTGTCCAGATGGTGGTCGAAGCCTACTCTTATCGATTTTAGGACCATCAAGGGATCTTTTACATGCACCACTTGCACACACGACCTCCGAGATTTTTTGCCTTTATTTGAGATGGCTAGGAGTTAAATCTTACCTACCATAAGATCAAGGATGTGGCTGATAGACAGCAGTAAGAAGGAGCCAAAGAGTAGCAGAAGAAAGGCTGTAGAAAGAGTCCGGAGCCCAGAGGAGGAGGCAAAGGGGAGGGGGGGGGGAGGAGGGGCCGAAAGTGGAGATGAAAGCAGATGACAGGACATGGTTAGAGAGCAAGAATGGAGGTGAAAGGAGTACTTTTGGAGAGACTCTTACAAAGACGGATAGATAAGTCAGAGGGTGTTCTAGTAAGCTCAAACATAATAAAATCATAATGATAACATCAAACAATTCAACTTAACCTACCCCAACATGTTGCCTACCTACCTACCTTTCTGTAAACTAACAAAACACCTCTGGTGACAGACTGTACGAAACTCTTAGAAAGACGGATAGATAAGAGTCGCTTTGGCTATTACTCTTGACTGTCTTTTCTTATTTTTCTTACCTTCCAGCGTAACGCTCATGGTATAAGAACAGGGCAGGTGGGTAACGTGCTTGGATGTTTTTTGAGCTGTTGTTGTTGTTGATGTTGTGTTTTTGGTTTTGATCCGTTTTATCCACTGTGTTGTGTCTGCTGTGATTTGCTTTGCTGAAGGTTGTATGCGCCCGTAACCCCCCCCCCCCCCCCCTAACACACACGCGCACAAACATTCACTTCCTTTTCTGCTTTTTAAAAATATTTATTATTTGTTGAGGTCTCGGCTCTTTTATTCTGAGCTGCTGGTCATATTTCTCTTGCTTTTTTTTTGTCATTTGGCTTGGTAATGTTCTATTTTTATTTTTAAAAATCGTTTCCTTTCTTTGGCTCTCCAGACATTGTGGTTGGGATATGAGAGACAGTTATTTATGCAAATCATCGTAAAAGCTTCAATGATTCAAATCATTGAAATGAGATTGTGCTAGCCAACTTTAATGATTACGCATAGAAAGCTGAAACATAATAAAATCATAATGGTAGCATCAAAACAATTCAACTTAAGCCTACCCCATTTCGTTGCCTACCTACATACCTTGCCGTAAACTGACAAAATGCCTTTTTTCAGTTTTGGCGCCAAATTTTATTATTGGCTGAATTGAAAGCATAAGTTCTCCTTATTTGTGTGAAAAGGGTATAGTGAAAGTAGGACTAGTTAAAAAAAAATAAAATTAGAATACAAATTTAGGAAAAGACCCTTTTTTAAATGGTTACTCTGACAAAAAGCCTCATTTTATCTCGAAACGAAAAGGTGTTTTGAATTGTCAGCTTAAGGCAGAACCTACCTACCAACCAGTTGACTTGCCAACCTACCTACTGACCGACCGACCGACCGACCTACCTACCTACCTACCTACCGACTCGCTCACTCACTCACTCACCCACCCTCTGATGTGCTTACTGTTTAATTTGTTTACTTCGGGCTTCTCAACATTGGCAACTCCTGCAAAGAATTCTTGTTACCTCAGCTTGCACGGATTATTTTTTTGCTGTCGCAAACAGTCCAAATAAGTCAAAATTTTGGTAATTTTTTCTTTTGACACCCTCCCAAAGCTCTATCCAAGATGCACCTTTCAACGTCACCAAAATGCCTTTCAACGTCACCAAGATGCACCTTTCAACGTCACCAAAATGCCTTTCAACGTCACCAAAATGCCTTTCAACGTCACCAAAATGCCTTTCAACGTCACCAAAATGCCTTTCAACGTCACCAAAATGCCTTTCAACGTCACCAAAATGCAGTTTAATACAATGGTCAAGGCTTATAGTTTTCTTGCTTTTCATGATTCCTGACAGGAACAACACAACAAAAACTAGTATTTTTGTCTTTGGTGTGAAAAGTACCCACCAGACTTAAGTGGATTGCTTGCGACATCTACGGTTTGTATCCTGAGATTTTCACACTAGTTTTTTTTTTGCTGTGCTCATCATGGATGACCTGTGTTTCTCCCTTGTGCTGTTGTTTTGGGTGTTTTAAAATCATTGTTTAACACTTTACGGTCACTTGCCGCAATAATGTGACAGTGGAAATTATCCGTTCCAGTCACTTGACACAGTTCTGCACCAGGCCCGAGACATCCGTTGCAGTCACTCTGCTGGCTGGGTGACCTGATGAGATACTTTATACCGCTAGCTGTGTGACTGCAAAGTGTGAATCAATGATGAATTATTTGTTTCTTTGCACATTAAAAAAAAAAAATCCCTTTTTTCATTAGTTTCATTAAGTTAAAAATGTCTTCATTCTATTTTCATTCTACTGTCATTCATTCATTCATTCATTCATTCATTCATTCATTCATTCATTCATTCATTCATTCATTCATTCATTCATTCATTCATTCATTCCTTCATCTGTTGGATATTCCGTTCTGACTTTCATGCTTTCTCAAAGTTCTTCCTGTTGTTCTCTACCCTTTCTTTATTCATACTCTCCTCTTCCGTAAGTTCAGTCTTGTTAGAAGTATAGTTCCCAATGACAAATTCCCCTCCTTGTTTTGAGCACTATAGTTCCTTCCGTGTGGATGATTGGTGGGTTCTCTGGTGTGTTTGCTCCTTCATTCCTATAAAAACACATCTATCATCCTTATCTCTACGCCTTCTTTTTTATGTTTATTACTCTCTTGTAACACCTCTAATCTTTGGCACTTATATGACCTAATTGTGTTGCAAGTGTCGTAAAACTATAACGAAAACAGTTCCTTCCTAAGTGCCAAAAGTATTGGGGAAAAATTAATTTAGCAACAAATGTTTTGCTTTCCTCTTCCATGTTTAAGCTAGAGCCACGGAAAAGTGTATCAGCTTCGTTGTTTTAGTGTTGCCTGCTGAAAAAGATAATAAGTATAACGTGTCATTGCGCAAATGCAAATGCTTGTTGCCTGTCAGCCTATTTCCTTAACATCTCTAACAACAAAATATGTGAAAAAAATCCCAAACTCCCACAAACCTTGTAGAATCTGTTATTTAACATGTTTTTTGTGGCAAGGATAATTTTTATCTGAAATATTGGTAGTGTTACCCTTGAGTATTTTCAAAGAAAGTTGTGTGTTGAGGACAATGAATCCATCTTTTGTCCCTACTAAAATTTTGGAGAAAACACCTTTGAATATGTCCTTCCTGCTATTGACTTTTTTCAAAGAAATGGTTTAAGGAGATCTTTAAAATGGTCACTTTTTCTAAATGATATTGCAATGATTTAGAAAAAGTAAATATAAACGACATGGACGCACCTTACGTTTTTAACGCAAGTCCCTTTGAAGCAGACTTTGTTGTAAGTGAAGAGCTGTTTTTTCAGTGTGTCATTATACTATGTGTTAAAACCTCTTTCTGCTCTGTCTTCTTTTGTTTGTTGGTAAAGTTCACAGAGCCTGTGCTCTTTAATCGGGGTTGAGCACAGTGTAAGTCTTGTATATTATAATTAGGAGGTGGACTCTCCGATCTGGGGCTCTGTTAGCTCAGTTGGTATCATGCTAGACTACACAGCAGATGGCCCGGGTTCGAACCCCAGACTGGGAGTTCAAGAACTCGAGTTGTTTTGTGAAGTTTTTAAGGCTCTAAGCCCATTTTGCTCAACTCTATTGGGGACGAACCTAATAGTGTTGATATTGCCATTAAACCCATACATTAGTACACTCTCTGATTAAAAAAAAATGTTCATCTATGAAGGGGCGAGCCATGTTGGTTGGAGAGCCTTGAAGATTTCCCATGTAAATCATGGTCTGGAACAGCCCATAAGGGATTTGAACTGGGGTCTTACACACCCTAGGCCAGCATGATTCTTTTTTGTGGTGATAGCTGTAAGACATAGAAACCTGACTTGGAACAAGATGACTCTGGCAGGTAGAATGGCGAGAGACAAGAGTGTTTCATTGAAGGCCTGTTCCACATTTACTGACTGACGGGACACATGAGGTATTTTTTCTGTCCTGTCAATTACCGAAACTAAACACGTCACAGAATTTGCATAAAGTTCTTTTTCTTCAAATGACTTCATTTAATATGATTCTTGATTTGTCTTTCAAATGTTCTGATCATTTAAAGTTGAAATAAATTCATTGATATTGAATTACAGTGTTATCATTGTAAGAAAGTAATAGTCCAAATGTCCTGTCAGTGACCGTGGAATAGCCCTGTAGAAAGGTCCGAGAAAGTTGTTGATGGGCATCTCTCTATAAAAACTGACAGACTATCACTTCTTTTGTGTCCCTTTCTTTATTTGTTCCTACTTTCCCCTTGTGTCAGTACATCGAATACACTCTCTGCAGAAAGCGAACAAAACTGGCCTTTATAACCTAATTTATCGTTCTTCTTTAATTACATCCTCTTTCCCTTTCCCCCTTCCTCCCTTTTTTCTTTTCCTCCTTCCTCCCTACC